CGAAGCCGTGGTGGTTTCGGAACGCATCTTCGTTAAGGACGCCGACATTCATGTAAAGGTGGGCTTCTTCTTTCTCCTTCTTCCGACGCAACATCTCCGCCCGATCCTCGGACATACGCTTTTCTATTCCATAATTAGCCAACCAATCAACTTCCAGAAGAGGAATATCGGGACATACCAATGTGAGAGGGCACATCATCCTTTGTGACCGGGAAGAATACATCATCCTGTCTCGTCTTTCGGACGTAAACCAACATGTACGCATTGTTCGTGCGGATAGCGGATCGTCCTCCAGTCGCTCCGTTCGTGCGCTGGTTGTCTCCGTAGTTCTCATCCAGGACTTCTTTGTCAGTAGCTCGGTTGACTCGGTCATCATCAAAGCGGTACCAGTGTCCATCCTTGGTGGGCTTGATGAAGGCATAGTAATGCCCGGCATCGAGGTTACCGCTGTGGACGAGAACACCATGCAATTGGTAAACCCAGGATTCCGACTTGTCGGCGCTCTCAGAAAGATAAGGAGCCGCATCGAACTCCATAGGGAATGTGTGATAATCATTAACCTTGGCCATCATATCGAGGTTGAGGTCGTACTCGAAACGTTTGAGGTGAAGATGCAGAACGGGAGGGAAGCTCTCGAAAATGACGCCCTTCTTAGCGTCTTGCAGACCATATGGCTGCCCAGCTTCGTACTTGTTCTCCCCTTCCAGCGTCTCAACCTGAATGTAATCCCTGAAGCTGTCGTCTAAGGTCTTGTTGCCTCGAACATTGAGTTGAATATCCCAAAAGTCTTCCACGCGAGAAGACTCGTAATCGACATTGATGCAAGAAATATACGTTTTTGTTTTTCCGACGAACAGATCGGGCAGAACTTTTTCTGCAACAGTACCCTTCATCTTGTGCTCCAATCGTTCCATGAGCTTTCGTGAGAGCTCCTGTACATCTTGCTGTTCAAAGATCTGGCTGGATTGCCAGCCAAAAGATGCGGTGAGCTCGGTTGTAGAAACAGCAGCATCATTGGTCTGCAGATTGTAAAATAGTCGCTGGAGGGCCCACGCGCTGTTCTCACGCGTAGCTTCCTGGTCAGTCGGTATTTGGTACACGGCCTAAGGATTTGCGTTAGTCTGAATAGTTTAGGGGAGTAATCGAAGTTTCTTTTTTCTGTACCTTGCGGAAAGCGTTTGTGAAATAGAGCGACTGCAAAAGTGAGTTCAAGTAGCAAGTTGCTCCTTGGTTCCTCAATCCTACCATTCCAGTCTCCTTCTTCGAGTCGTAACTGAAAAGAGAAAAGTTAGCTTCACTCGGTCAAACCTCCCGGAGAGAACACACTTTTGGAAACTGTGCCACAAGACGCCCGTAGGATCTTTCACTACACGAACATAGGCTGTGACAATTGCCTCATCATCCTGCACCAACGGGACAGATTTTCCCTCCCACGCACGGCTAAACAGACCTTTCAGGTCAGCGAACCGGGTGAAACCCCAGTCCCCTTCCTCGGCGGTGAAACGGTGGGTTGCAACTAAAACCCAGCTTAGCATTATGATCGCCCAATTCCTCGAGACATGAATGTCTTACCGTGGTGTGTATAAATGGAAGGATCGTTCACATTTGACAACACCAGCGCGAACTGCACACAGGCGTACCAGTTCTCCGGGGGTCCATTCTCCCACGCATGTTCGAGGTAAAATGAGGCGAATTCGGTCTGGTTGCCGTAGGGGAAAAAGAGAATGCGCCTATTGTCGAGTTAGAATCAATGTCAACACAGACCATGGAGCCACCTAGGCAAAGAAATTTCAGGCACGCACCACGGGGAGTCACCACATCGGAAGACGGGTCCGTGTGACTTGCGATCCATATTCCGCCAGTCCGACAAGCGCCATGTGCTGTGGACCTCATCTAGGGTTTCGAGGTCCGGGTTCTTGGGGAGGACCTTTGCCATCATCGCGGCGTCTATATCCATCGGGGACTCTTGATTAGCGACCAGTACAAACAAGCAAACAGGCAGTATGTTTCTCGAGGGCGATCTCATTCAGGTGCCATGCTTTTTCCAGCTAACCCGTTCAAATCGCCCCCGATTATGTAGGGAAAGAGAAGCAACAAAGAACATACGGTCATCTGCGGTCGGTGCGGGTTCAGGTTCGTCGGATCCCGACCGGGACACGACGACGACATCGGTCTTTTCAGCAGGGTATTGATCATAATCATCGACAAGCATGTCGTTCTCCGCGAGCTGGTAGAACAGGGTTAGGTCCAATGACGACACTAGCGAGGGGCACGGTCGGGGCATCTCTCACGTTCTCCATCGCGGAAAGCGCCTTCCCGTTCCGGAAGGCGACAGAGGTTGTATTTGAAGGAAGTTTTGTGAATAAAAAAGACAAGAATGTTGGAAAGAAATACACTGTAGAGCTGTAGAGCTTGGTGGTGGAGGAAACTCGTCTGAACCCGCAAAATAATAAGGGCCGGAGCTAGCGGTGGCGGAGCCTCGAGGGCTCGGCAGTGATATTGTGGACGTTTATGAGATCTGTCTTTGATTAGATGCTTATTATTTTTGGAGTTAATAGCTGTTCATTCTGACTTGTCTTTCTCTTTTCAAATTAAAAGGAGTTTGCCTTAATTGGCAGTGCGCAATAATATATGCAGTGGAAAGTATACGGTGAAGAAAGCCCTATTTTATACCTGTCCAATTTATGTAGATAGCTATATATGTTGGATGGAGTATATAGATTAAGTATGTTTTAGTTCTGCAAGCCAATCTATTCATCTTTATGAATGCTTTCAATCAAATATGCGTTGGCCCTCAGAGGATCTAAAGGGCCCACGAGCCCTGGTGCGTTAGCCTAAAGTCCGTGCGAGTTCCTCAGATCCGAGGCAACATCGGATGAGAAACTCAAATCGTATGACATTGGCATATAGAGCCCATATAAATATATATATAAGGATATATAGAGATATGAGAGAAAAAAAAAACAAAACCTGTACTAGTATAAGTGTGTTGACCGGTGTCACATGCTTGGCTCACCGCCCGGCAACCCCAAACATCTGAAGTCCCAACTACGCGCATGCACATAGTGAGCACTTATATGATCTCGATACTTACTGAATGAGTGCATGGAGCACAATGAGGCTGTCTTATCCAGCTAGAAGCTGGAAGCTCCTCCAATCTCCATATAAACGCTTCTATTCTGGAGCTCACAGCCCGCCACCATGGCGGCCAGTTTCTGCAGTAGATGAGTATGAATGACTCATGTTCCTAAAGCTTGAAATGGTGATACTAACCGAAATGCGCTGCTAGATGGGTGGAACGAGCTATTCGACCTATCAGTCTTCGTCAGTTGACCTTCTTTGGTCGTACCTTGACCGAACCTCGACTCATCAGTTCCGCAAACTACGTCCGGACCGAGCTACCTACTCGGTAAGTTGGAAGACAATCGGTAGAATTGGAAATAGTCTGATAATAGTATTGGATAGCCTTGCGCATCGTCTGCGAGACATTCAGCAGCTGCCATATGTGGTGGTTGCTAACCCCCATCTCACCCTTGTATACGAACTGTACTACAAAGCATTTGAGAGGGTTCGGGTGGTTCCTGAGATTCGGACACTTGAAGATAATGATCGTTTCTGTGAGATTTTGAAAGAAATGCTGCGAGAGCATTTGGTTGCAATTCCCAATCTGGCGATAGGAGTGCTGGAATGCCGCCATCTTGCTCCAGCGGACGAAATGGACCGGCTAATGAACACACTTCTGCGAGCGGTATGTTAAGGTCGACCCCCGATCTCCCTCCCAGCTGACAATTATTTCCTCGGCAGCGAATCTCTCGGCGAGTCATCGCAGAGCAACACCTAGCTCTGACCGAAACCTTCAACTCACCATGGCACTTCCCCGATTCTCACGACCGAACCGATATGAATGCAGACTTTGTGGGTGAAGTGTTCCTAAAGTGCAAGGCGAAGGAGGTAGTCGAGCGATGTGGCAAGATCGCACAAGATCTGATGCGGAACATATCGGGCTCGACCCAGATCCCCGCGATTACTGTCAAGGGTCATGCGGACGCGACGTTCCCGTATATCTTGAGCCACCTGGAATATATCATCGGAGAACTTCTCCGCAACTCGGTGCAAGCAGTGATGGAGAAATACCAGCACTCGGACCAACCCCCACCACCCATCGAAGTGCTCGTGTGCGAGACCCCGCAGCATGTGATAATGCGCGTCTCTGACCAAGGAGGAGGAATTCCTCGAGAGATTCTGCCGTACCTGTGGTCCTTCAGCAAGGGCCCTCGCACACAGACCCGGCTCGAAAATCTTGGACGGGTCCCTGCAATGGCGGCAACGATGCAAGATCTGCAAGTGTCGCACGAACTTAGACACATCAACCGGGATGTATACCATGAAGGATCCCTGGACACATTGACATCACGACCGCCCAATCTCCGTCTGGGAATGGGTCTCCCCATGAGTCGAGTCTATGCTGAATATTGGGCAGGCAGTTTGGAACTGCACAGTCTGGAAGGGTATGGAGTGGATGCATTCCTGCAGATCTCGAAGCTTGGCAACAAGAACGAGCAGGTTACAACTCGGGCGGCAATTGATGCAGTGTAGGACTTGAATACTGGGGAATATTACAGGAAATATATTCCCAGTACCTCTACATCTCCAAGTCCATCCAATGTACCTGCCCGTCAATTGTACTTGCCGTCTATGTACACAAACACCGCCACATCTGGATGTTGGATGTGGCGGTGTCAGTTCGGGATGACGTCACTGCATGCCCCTTCAGCAAATCAGCTTCACGGCTGCCTCAGCCCTACCGCAGCTCCTTTCAGTCCAAGTCGTGACGTCGTGGCCAAGATCAAGATGAAACGCATTAATTCTCCTGCGGATGACAATATCCCTATTTATATCTTCATACTCCTCTTTGCAATTCTCCTCCTCAGTTTTCTAGCCACCACCGATTTCAAACCTCGCCCCAAACCTGAACAATAACGCATACAAACACCGCAATCATGTCCGGTACTTGCTCGACCCTCTGTTTGATCATCATCACTATATTCAGTAAGTAATTCCTCTGCTTGAAGAATCGGCCAAAAAAATTCCATCAAAAAATTCACCCCCACATAATGATCCCCAGATCGCCCCTCAATCTATAGCTATCCCCACCAGAATGACCTGCTAACAAACCAAACAGTTCCCCCTCTTGGTGTCTTTATGATTGCAGGCTGTGGAGTTGACTTCTGGATCAACGTCCTGCTCACATGTCTTGGGTGAGTGTGCTAGCTATCCCGACTTCCGTCATATTCGAAAACTAACCAGCGATATCTCCCAGTTACTTCCCCGGACACATCCATGCCTTCTATTTGGAATACGTCTTCTATGAGCGTCGCAATCGCGATCCACTGACTCGTGCCTCTCAACGGCCCGCACCTGGCGTCTACTCCGATCGCATCCAGAATGGAGGCCTTCATTCCGTACCCGCAGGCCAGACTTACGGTACTATCTGATTTTCTCTCAATACCTCCGAACTCTCCCATTCGAATTGCTTGACCCAGTCTCTGGACGGTCGGAATTCTCTACAACCTTGAACCTAAGCAGGTCTCTACCATTGGTGTTCCTGCTGTATCCATAGCGTCGATCCTTGTTCTTTCGGGTATAACTGGACCCCTCTGAAACAACAAAATGAGAAAGATGGTTTTCCACTCTCCAATCTAATGCGTTTCATATGTATCATTTTCAAAATGCAACTGTAGGAGGTGGGCATTCTAGACAAAGCTCCCAAAAGTAAACAAAAAAACAGGTAGATCCCAACTCCCATCTCAATAGACCCAACTAAATGCTTATACACTCGCCTTCGCCTTCCCCGCCTTCTCGACCTTCTCCGCCTCCTTAGCCCTCTTCTCAGCAGCAGCCTTCTTATTATCCTTCACCTCAGGGAAATCAAAAGGCTCACTGCTAACAATCGTGCCCCCAGTCCTCGGCACAGTCCCAGTACCAGGCGCCCACAACAAAGCACCAACCCACGGCTGAACATTCCATCCAACATGAAGGGTAACATTCTGACGCTCTGCCAGACGACCAGTAACATCACTGACCTGGTACTTACCCTTCTGACCACGCAGTCTCAAGACACCGGTCGCCAGAGTCTCCTTCTTACTCTTAGCCGCCTTAACCGACTTAGCATGACGCTTCGCATTCCTCTTCGCAGCGGCCACAGCCTCAGACGAAACGGCTGGTGGAAGAAGCGCAATGACCTGGTCTTTGAGGATGTCCCATGAATAAGGCGACGGGGTCGCGGGGATGATAGTGTCCCAGATGATCGACTCTGAGGCGCGGACCTGCGAGCCGGGGATATCGGAGGAGGAATAAGTAGCGTAGACGTAGACGAAGAGCTGTTTTGTGTTCCAGTTGAAGAGCGGGCTCAGGTCTGCGTCGAGGTCGAAGCGAAATTGGGCGTATTCTTCGCGTTTGGTGGAATAATAGTGCGGCCGGCCTTTGACGCTGTTATACCGGGAAATGGGTTTTAGTAAATGGGGTTCTTTTAATATTTCGGTCTCGGGAGTATAGGGTTGGAGGGAGAATGGGAGCGATTTCACTTACACCTGCACGTTCTTCAGCTGCACTGAGGCATTGGTCTCGTCTGCTGGGAAGAAGAGGACCGAGACGGCTGCCAGTGCGCTGACGACTAGCGCGACTGTAGTGAAGAAGCCGAATACGGCCTGGATGCGGTTCAAGGAGGAATGCATGGTGTGATGGGAGACGAATGAGAAGATGAAGCCAGCTGGACCTGTTTGGATGTTTGGGTTCTTATCGATAAGCGGCATCTATAAACTGGGGGCCATCATCTCCATCTCCACATCGACAACTCTCATAACTTCGTCCTTCTCTCATCTTTTGATTTTCTTAATATCCTGAGCTTCTGCTGATTTTGAGCATCCATATATTATACCTCGAGTCTATAGAATATATTCCCTCGGACCCTCATCAACTCTCACGCAAAAAACAACCCACCACCCCAACCCCACACCATACACAATGGGCGACCACGTCCTCTTCTTCTACGGTATGTCTTTCCTGAATAAAAGACGAGCTACAAACTAAAAACCATCTAGGAACCCTAATGGCGCCACAAATTCTCCATAAGGTGATCTACGGCCAAGCCAACCAAAACCGCTGGCAAGACGCCATGCTCCGCTTCCAACCCGCCATTCTACATGGGTACCGACGACATCGCGTGCAAGACGCTGATTACCCCGGGATCGTGGCAGTGCCAGCGACACAAACCAAGGCCGATAAGTCATCTGCGCCGAAAACCCACGCTGGGACATCAGTCATAGGAACCCTCGTGTCGGGACTAACAGACGGCGATGTCTACCGACTGGATAGGTTCGAGGGTTCTGAATATGAGAAGAAGCGGGTTACTGTGCGCACGCTGCGGGAAGCGCCGGGTGATAATAAACATGATGGTGAGGGGGTTAGTGATGAGAGTCGGCTGCGCGAAATGCTTGATGGGACGAGTACTGAGGCTGATGAGGGGGGAGGAGGTTTCGGCTGTGACTTATGTTTATACAGCTGGGAAGGATATGCTTGAGGATGCGGAGTGGGACTTTGAGTCGTTTAAGAGGGATAAGATGGCGTGGTGGGTTGGGGCTGATGAGAGTGAGTGGTAGCTATCTTCATGTATGTCTTAGTTATTATTGGTAGGCTGTATTAAACGATTAAATTTGCATTGTGATGCGAGCGATGGTATCTGATGCTATGAATGTAAAGACGAAGAAAACCGATCCTTCTCTTATCGAACGCCGATGCAGGGCTATGTCTATGCTGAACATGCCATAACGCACACGGATTAAAACGCTAAAAACAACAGTGAAGATATTGATTCATGATGTAGAGAGTCCGGTCCAGCCGGAATTGTGTTCGGATTTCGAGATTATCTTAGACAATAGGTTCGTATAACATCACTTGGACGAACAGACTCATCTCTTTTGCAGAGGGCCTCGTGGGCTTTGTCTCTTTCGTTCTTTTCTTGTAGGGCGCGGTGGTGTGCTTGGCACTTCGGGCTCTTCCTGGCTACCGGGTACCTGGATGATGGGTTCCTCCTTTGGTGGAGGAACATGGCCATTTTGCGATTCTGCGTCTGTAGGTGGGTTGGAGAATGCTTGGGTGTGTTTCGGGGGTTTTGCGGTAGGTAAGAGATGCATCTGGTCCGTGGTTGAATCTTCACTCGAGTCTTCTGTCTTCGAATCGGCAGTTTTTGCAGGGTCCTTTGAAGGATCAGTCTCCTGCTGAGATTCAGGTACCACATCAACATTCGGAATTTCCTCCTGAGAAGGAAGGGGTGGGCCAAGCAGGAATGAAACGGGTTGTCTGGCTGCCATGACAGGCTCATTGGCTTGCCCCTGTTCTTCGTACAGCTCGTCCAAGAACTTTCCAAGACGGTATCGCAGGAGACCAGAGCCTAGTGGAGGCCAGTCATCGATAGAGCTCATACTCCGCTGTAGCACCTTGGTGATAAACCAATCAGGGCTTTGAACAAACTTCTCCAGGTATGCCAGCAGATAAAGACCGCAGTCCCAGAAATTGGGCTGAAGGGGAATATCGCGAGCCCGCATGCCCTTGACGTCGTTCGGGTCGAGTTCAACGCCGCGTTTGGACTCTGCTTCGCGGCAGATGTACTCGCGTAGGATTTTGATGGTGGGGGAGCGAGGCATGTCAAGAGAGTCAAATGTGATGATCGTTGTTTGGTTTGGATCCAACTTTAACCCACTTCTTTTCTTCTTGGATTTGTGGGTGGGTTGTGACGCCGCAGCCTGGTCTTGGGCTAGCTTTTGGGCAGCGAATTTGGAGAGATTTGGGAGTGGAAGTGGGGGTTTGGTGGGCGGGTACTGATCCTCTGAGTTCTTTGTATCCCGTATCGCATGCTCATTCGCCTCAATCTGCAGGGAAGCAAGGTCTCCTCCGATATCAGATCCATTTCGAATCTCGCGAGGTGGACTGGCCTTGTCAGAAGCATTGAGCTCTGACTTTGACTTTGGTTCCGGCTCAGGGGTCTCTTCAATTTCCTGGATCTCACTCTCAGATGCATTGGATGACTCTTTCTGTAAAGTCGGCGTTTGAACCGGCTCTACGCCGTCGGCAAAACCAAGAGACAAGCTTGGCAAGTTGCAAATGATTGCAACATACCAATGGGCACTCTCATTGATCGGAACGACGATATAGTCATAACTGAAGAGATCAACGTTCCGAGTCCACTTCTCCACACCACTATAGTTGATCCCACGGTCCCCCCGTGGGGTGTTCGTGAGGGTTGCAAAGAAGTAGGTGTTGAAGAAGTAGATACGTTTGGCAGCCTCCTTGTTGGTGCGTTCGAGATGATCCTGAAGGAAACGCATGTAGAGAGCGATCAGGTTATCGTTCAAAAAGTCGTCACGGAGTAACCGTTCACGATCGTTCAGTGTGACCTCAGCCTTCTTCTTTCCACTTCGCGGGTACACCAATGGTTTCTCCCAAATGTGCCGGAAAGAATCGTCCCTGAGAAGTGGCTTCGAGTTTCTTTCGGAAGTAATATCTCCATTCGACACGTCGGGCTTGTTAACGACACAGCGGGTGGAAGATCGGGTCTCGCGTTCCGGTGGGTTGACGGAAGTTCGAACTCCACCATCCGTATCAAGAGGACCGTCGGCATCGAGAGGTTGGTGATTCTGTGGCTCTTTGGCAGAAACTCGAGAATCGGCATTGCCGTTTCCAGATCTTCCCTTTTCCTGGGCGCATTTGATCTTAATTGAATTAACATTGTTGACTTCACCATGGTCATCTCTCAAGGACTTGGAAAGTTTGGGCCGTCGAGAGGGAGGAGGAGAGTGCGCGGGATCAGGGTCTTCCATCAACTCATCAAGAAGCCGCTTCTTGGGCCGCTTGTTTTCCGATGTGTTGTCCTGTGGGAATTGCTTTTCATATCTCAAAAACGACCTGTCCATCCATTTCCTGTTCCAGTGTTAGTGAACTGCGGATTCCCCTAAAAGAAGGCTCATAAAACTTACATCTCTTTGCTCTGGCGGTGGGCAACGGCTTTAGGCAATACTTCCAGTAATTTTTCCTTTTCGTCGGTGGTCCAAAACTCAATATCGAGCTGATCATCTGGTTCGAAGGGACGGGCGAGTTTCATTCTCACTTTCCGGCTGGGCTTCTCGCCGACCACAATGTGCATGATTTTTTGGAAGGGTATTGATATTGTGTTACCCTGGCCGAGTGCATCCTCACGAAATTCAAACCCTTGCTTGTTTGAATAAATTGGGACGGTTTCCTTCATATCACAACTTGTGCTCGAGGTACCGATTCGGAAATACCGCAATTGATGTTTCTTATCAGAGTGCTTTTGAGATATCTTGGCCTTTTTGATGGCCGGTGCTGGCGAGGAAAAGTCTTGAAGTGGGATATCGGATGGGGAGCGTTTTCGAGTCGGTGTTTCTGTATGTATGGTGGGTTTGGATGGGCGAGTGGTCTGGGGTTGTTTTTCTGACAAGGATTTCGGTACTCGATGTGTGGTGATGTCGCCCTGGAGCTCATCTGGACTTTCCCTGCCATTGGCAAGACGACGGAAATTCGTTAAAGGAACTGCAATGCGATTCGGACCAGATCCTTTTGATCCAACCTCGATGTTCCCAATAACAATGGCCTCATTAGCCTGGTTTGATCTGCGATTGATCTGAGATAGTCGGGGATCCGTAGATCTCGCCATGTTTCGGCGTTGCTGCGCTGCTGTTTCAGTGAACTTTTCATCCCGAGAGTCAGCATAAGAGAATTGGTCATGATGGGGACGAATAGAGCTTTGCGCTGATTTGGCGCCATTCTCCGCGTCCCTGGAACTATCACGCCGGTTGCGACGTTTTGTGGGTTGTGCCAACCGATCTATGGCTAGATTTGCTGGGACTGTAAGGTCAATTGTTTCGCTGGTTTCACTCTGGCGCCGGATCTTAGTAGGCCGACTCGACTCTTCGAACGCATCGTCAAATTTGGGAGACTTTCTCCGTGAAGTTTGTTGATTTGGTTCTCCGTAAGAACGGACCGGCCCGCTGCTTCGGGCATTCTGATTTTGTGAAATTTTGTTTTGGGGGGAGAACGCGAAGCTAGACTGTGACCGAGGATCAGATGGATGTCATAGTTATGGATGTAAAGGCTGTGATTTACCCCTGGTTTCTTGTTCTTAGAATGGAGGGACGCGCCGGGCTTTATCTTGACGGCGTGGGAGTCACTATCCAGGAAAAAAGCGACTGGTTAGCAATGATGTCTCGAGAAACTCAACACAGACTCATAGAACTCGTAGAACATACCGGTATTTGGCTCCGAACAAACGCGCCTCATCTTGCCGATTTTGGGAATCTTTTTGCTGGTCCTTGTCCAACATCTGCGACGAATCACCCGGCCTGGGATTGGGTGGCATCAGCTTTGGCCTGCCGGTAGGGAAAGGTTCTGGGTTCCGATGGGACATGTCTAACCGGGTAGTTGGGCTTAGAAAAGGGTGGGAGAAACGTGAGCGCAATAGTTCGTCCGCGGTTGTAGATCCAGTTGGGGACGAAAAAGTGTCGACATAACTGGGAGCAGCCTGAGAAGATCGATTAGTCCCAAGTTGAATATCTGATGGCTTGCAACAAGACAACAGGCGGGGCTGAGAGATAAGTGACCAAGACCAGGAGATTCCGTAGAGTCGAGTTATCAAAAAGGAATATGAACGGCCAAGGGCAAATATCGGCACGCGCATGGAGATAAGAGATACACACCGTTGGAAGAAGAGTGATCCCAGTGTTTCGGGGAGAGGTGAGTTCGGTCAGGTTGATTTCAGATCCCAGGGGAAAAGAGTCGCGACCAGATCCAGCTGGTCGAGAACGAGGAGGGGTCGAGGGCGGTCGTTCTGCACGTTGAACAGCAGATCGTTGATCTTCGGTCTGGCGTTGGCGTCGCGGTGACAAGTTAGAGAAGAGTTCGACTAGATTTTTAAACACAGGCATTAAGGCAGCCAGAAGGTCATGGCAATATGCATTGCATAGATATTCCAATTGTTCGTCTATTGTCTTTTTTTTTCTTCTCATTCATCGGACGCAACTACGCCGCATCGTCATCTGGGCCCTAGGGCGGTCAGGTCTGATTGGCGCCTGATAATTTAGGCATAAAGGCTTTTACTGTTTGATAACTAACTATGTTGGAATATTGGAATAGATGAATAGTAATATGTATATTCTCTGGATTCACTTTGTTCATACCTTTTTGCATTATTGACGCTATTCACACAAATGTTCAATACTCCAATTGCCCAATGGCGTGAACAATATAACAACCTTGACATACTAGTGTTCGGGTTTCTAGCTTGCAAATAGGTTATTGTAACCCCCGGAGCCATTCACTAATAGCTGTGGGTCTCTTGTGTATGATAAGTTCATGTAGTTGGAATATCTGCCAGAGTGCAATAGACCAAGTCTATGTGAAAGACTCTACTTCACATAAAAACAACCCAATTCACGGAAAGCATAGACAATACTCTCAGGCGAGAAAACCATTAGCAGCTGGTGCTGCATTCATGTTGCGTACATAAAGGAAAAACATCACGCATGAGCTCGGTAGACACAAAAAAAAAACACATAGCACCATAGCACAGATGAGTTCACTCAAGACATAAATCAAATCAAACCGCTGAGTTCGCCTCGATGCCCCACCGCCCCTAAGACCCAAACGCGTCCCAATGATTCGTGATTGAAGTTTTTTTTTTCGGGTTTACTATACAGGGCCCAAGGCCAGGCTGGGATCTTGGATCCGTTCATAGGGTCACAGCCGGTTTGACCTTGTCCGAGTCATCTTGACCTGTTCGCCGCCGTTCTTGATGACCCGTGCCAGTGGCGGTCTTGTCGTGGCGAGCCTGGTCGATGGCAGAACGCTGTGCAATACTATCGTCGTGGCTCTTCCAGATAATGTTGGTGTCTGCGGGGAAAGCAAGCAGGCGCTTGATCGTTTCTCTGGAAACAAATTAGATATACCACACGGTGGTGAATTAAAGCAGGTTGCACATACCTGATCTTGATATTGCGCCCCCCGTCAATCCTCGTCCAAACACTTAAAACATCTTCGCCGCCTCGGACGCTCAGTACAGCACCGCAAACTTCATCTCCAGCCTCCGCAAACTGGTCTCCAACCATAGCCAAGAGGAGATCCTCCCAGTATCGATCGGAAACCCCCTTCTTGAAACGTACGATCCACTTACCTCCCCGCTTGTTCGCCTCATCTTCCCAAACGGGGCGGATCCCCTTCTTGAAGATGTGGTAGTCGGAAACGGTAGGAAGAAGAGAAGGGCGTTTAAGATGAGAGTAGACCGCCCAGAAGCTCTCTACAGAAGATATCGAAGCGAGCGGCACGGTAGACTTTTCGTAGTCGGAATATTTGGGTGTCGGGGGACGATACCAGACGATCCACGTAGACTTCAACGGGTGCTCGCCAGGAGCCGCGAGGGAGTTGTTCTCAAAGGCCCTGCGTGTAGCCTCATCGTGTTCCAAAGGTGTCTCCCGTCCGGGTGTTTTCAACTCGGAGCCACCGGGAGTCTTCGGCGCACCGAATGAGGCAAATGCGCCGGACCCCAAACCGAAAGCGGAGGAGGCATTGGTGGATGGGGAGGAAACACCGCCGGATAATGGGGATATTGCGTTAAATGGATTCGAGCGGCCATGCGAGCTGTCGGGTCCGAACCGCTTGGATGGGCGGGGAAGTTCGACACGGGCACCTTCTTTCGCGTCGGCTCCGGACGTTGACAGGGACAATTTGGAAGAGCTAATCAAAGAAGAAACAAATCCATATAAGTTACAATGGTCTGAGTTGAGGAGGGGCACACGACTGACTTTGTCCGGCGGGTCCACAGGTTTGCATTATCCATCGCGGCGGGTGAGAAGACTGCCCGAGACACGAGCGGTCATCAGGGGGAAAGAAAAGGATCCGTAAGAAGCGTTACACAGAGAGATGAGACGCCGGCGCTATGATCTCAGTGACGTAGTATAGTGGCAGAAGGAAATTCTGAATAAAGACGTTCGGGGGGTGAAATCCAGGTAGATGGAAGAAAGTAAGTAAGGGCGAACTAGGAGGATATCTGGTAAGGCTGGATTTAAAAGAAAAAGAAGCAATAGGAAAACAAATGTATAGAGGGGGAATCAGGTGAAGGGGAAAAGTGTCGATATGAATCGGAGACTCGGGCAGTTTGGAGGAACAGCTTCCTTGACCAATCACATTCACTTCAGCCCCATTTTCGCCTGCAGCCCGCACCGTCTTTTTTCCAGTTTTCCCTTTTTCTTCGACTTTTTTTTGGATTCTTTTTCTTCTTTTTCTTCTATATCAAGACCACCAACTCAAATCAACGCTGGCGACTCATTCTCTTTACAGCACTAGCGTTTCCGATGAGTGTGTCGAGATTAATTTGATTCGCATCTAAAACCATCATCACGAGGGCTTACGAGCAACCCATGACACGTTGATGACCTGATTGACGACACATCTCTTTGTTTTTCTTTGTTTATTTTTTTTATTATTATAGTACATAGGGTACGTCTCTATTCAATAGCAATCCATTTCCATCCTACATTTTTTTTAATCCATGTTTCAACGCGATGAAGAAACTCTTTTGAGCTCTCTGGTAATCCGAGGACTCAACCGCCCTTACTACCTGTGACCTTCGGGCTGGGCTGGTTGAGCATGCGGTCAACAGGCAAAGTCTGAGCCTTGAAATATATTTTGAATCTGTTCTGTCTTTTGACCAATGGACTGACATGGAATAGTTTTTGTAGCTTTCATAGGTAATATTCATCTCTTCAAATGCCGAAACAGTTACCTCAAGACATCCAAAGTGCATCAGCGTAGTATACCTGTCCACCATACAAATAAGAACTTTGATCTAAAATTTTTTGGATCAATGGGCAATATGTAACAAAAAAAAAAAAAAACAAAGCCCGGAATAACCCCGAATACCAAGGGTAGTGAATCTCGTGAAAAGTAAATGCAAACCATTCCACCAACCATGACCGATGCAATAAAACAGAAAAGATAAAAAAATAAGTTGCAAAGAGTCATCACTGGGCAGAGACACGATCACTTGAATCTTGCTTGGTTCGCTTGGAATCCCGATCGCTGCTAGGCACCGAAGCGTCAGCCTTGCGCTTGTCGCGGTCCTTTTGGTTCTGGTACTCGACGCGTCGAGCTTCCTTGCGGAGCGCTTTAGATTCAAACTCATGCCAGTCCCCTTCAACATGCTCCAATCTGTAAATAAAGTTAGTAGGGTTAATATACAAGGAGCGTGGGGAACGTACTCGATCGGCGGGTGAGGAGCTGGTTCCTCCGATACGAAGTAGGGATGTTTAAGGACATCCTCTGCGCTCGGCCGCTGCGAAGGGTCGTAGCGGAAGATCGAAGAGATAAGATCCATTGCACCGGTTGTGAGCACATCACGGTATACATCCTCAAAAACGCGCTTCCTTCGTTCCGTTGGCCGCATCAGGTGGAACCAGGGCATCTCCACAAGGTCTGGCCACTCAGTCTTGGTAGGTGTACCCAAAGCATTGTAGATCTTGTCCATCTGGCTCAATTCGCCACCTTCACCAGGGAAAACCGCCTTTTTGGTGAACATCTCCATGCAAACGCATGCAGCGCTCCACATGTCGACGGCAGGACCATATCGGGTTTCACCCAAGAGGAGTTCGGGGGGTCGGTACCAGATGGTGATGACCCGGTTGGTGTAGTCAAGTTGACGACTTTTGGAGAAGAACCGGGCCAGGCCAAAGTCGGCAAACTTTAACAATCCGCGATTGCTGATCAATATATTGGCTGCTTTGATGTCGCGGTGTAGAACCCCACGATGGTGAAGGTAATTGAGACCCTCGAACATCTGCTTCGCCAGATCCTTCTTGTGTGAGAGAGTGAGAGAGAAAGTAGGATGATTGATCAGACCGGTCAGATCATGAGAGAGGTATTCAAAGACCATGAAACATTCGTTTTTTTCGACCATGACCTCCAGGAGGCTGACGACATTATGGTTTCGAAGATGCTGGAGCAGCTTGATCTCTCGAACAGCCGTGACAGGGAAGCCATCCTTCTCGCCCTCCATTCGGATCTTCTTCAGTGCAACTTTACGTTGTGTATAGACGTGAATTCCTTTGAAGACTTTGCCATAGGTTCCAGCACCGATCACAGACTCATTGCCCGGCTTTCGGTAGTACACAGATTCGGCGTTAGCGAACTCCTCGGGAATCGTAGGGCGTGGTTTGAGGCGAGTAACAATCCGCTTCTGCTTGGGTGGTGGTGCCTCTCTCGGTTCTGGAGAATGGTCACGGCGGCGATCTTGCCAGTCCGTGGGCCTGTCCGTCGGCCATTCTCCTTGTCGTCGATCACGACGTTGATCAAACCGGCGATCATCTCTTCGATCCCGCGGATCACGGAATTCTCGTGGTTCCCGGAAATCCCTACGGTCTCGATCCCGATTTCGCCCACCTCGGTCACGGCGATCGGCCCTTGGATCTGGTTTAAATTTGGGCAATGGCCCGTTAGTAAACCTGTTGCGAGGTTGCTGAGGTGGTTCGGGTGCACGTGGGGCCGGCGGGGCCGGCTCGCGAACCTGCATCCTCTGGGCAAGGTCAGGTACTGGCTTTGGAGCGGGAGAAGGTGCAGCCTTTGACTTGAAAGCAAAGCTGAATTTCCCGCCCTTGTTTGCCGGCGTCGTTTCATTGGATTCATGGGTCGGGGGTTTCATGGGCTGGGGGTTTCCGCTAGCGGATTGAGATTGCGCCTGATGACCCTCTTCATCCCTATTGGGAGGCCGGAAATGATTATCACTTTCGCCAGCTCGGGGGGATTGCGGGTCACAGTGAGACCGTGGTCGATTAGGAGTTTGTGATCCATGACTGTGTGCCGGGTGGGGAGGGCTATGCTGTCCCCCACGGCCTCGTGATCCCGATGCAGTCCATTGCAAGTTGTTGAAATGTCCTCTCGCGCCGCGTTGTGGGGGTCCATTGTGATATGAATGAGGACCAGAGCCAGAAAATCGTCGATCGGGTCCCTGGTTTGAAAAGTTTCCTCGATGGCCGCCACCAGAGTGGCCACCTCGGTGGGGAGGCCCGCCATACGGAGATTGAGGGTGATGATTGCCGGGGCCGCTAGGTTGACCTTGGTTGTGATGATAGTTTCCATTTTGCGATGAATAATCATCATGTCGATAAGGAGAGGTGTGGCTTAAAGAGAGTGTTAGTATAAGTTAGAATGTAACGTGTAAGTGAAAGCAATAAGAAACGTACCCAGTTCCAGAATACGGAGGCGGGCCAGACCATCCTCCTCGTCCTGCGGAGTAAGGTGAGGGTGGTTGCGGCGAACCGTGGTATGAGCCTGTCGACGTTGCGTGTTGAGAGTTTGCATAGGGCCGGCTATCAAGACGTGGTCGAGACGGCCGACGGCGAGGCTGATTATTCACATCGGAGCGCATTGCATGTGTTGGGAACTCATTCCGCGCGTGAGTAGGGTGTTCTCCAGTAGGGCCGAAGTTATCAGAGTCAAAACTCGGAATCGGGCGCGGTGGAGATGGAGACCGACCAGTACCGTCCACAACAGACTGGATTGGTCGGGTTGTGTTCATCGCCGAATCACGCCTTGACCTGCGAGACGATGCAGAATATCTCGAGGTTGCAGACCGTACGGAGTGCCGTGAGTTTGATCGATAGTGAGATCCGTGGTCACTATAATTGTCACCACCAGGGGTACGAGACCGTCGATCAGGCGAAGGATGAAACCCTCGTTCATTAACCGGTGATCTAGATCTTCCTGGACGTGGAATTTCCGGACGACGACGGTCTTTTCCACGACGGTCCCGGCCCCGGCGTGGTGATCTTCGCCTGGGAGCACCACGACCTTGGGTGCGGCCACCACGTTTCTTGAATGAAGGGCTTCGGTCCCGTCCTTCACCGTGGTTGGGGTAATTTGAACGCTGCGGAGGAAGAGGGCCACGGCGGCTATGCGGTGAGACGCTTCGAGTCCTTTGCCGTTTAAGTGGAGGTCCGGTTGGTGACTCGTCTCTTCGAGGACCGGGGGCTTCTCTGTCGAAAGGTCCGGAAGGGTGAGCGCCCCAGTTGCCGGCTGATGACACGGGTTGCGTTGAATCTATTCGACGGCTGTTGTGGAAATTTGGGTGTGGAAGAGAACCTCGACGAGGAGATCGATCCGGAACGAAGTCACCTAGGTCGTGAGAAGAGTCAGGGCCAAAGCGGGACGCGCGTGGTGGCGACCGCCCCGGGCGATCGAAATTGCGGTTATTGGGCCGATATGGACGGCCTCGGTCACGACCTCTGTTTCTCCCTCGATCGCGGCCTGACCCTCGCCCTCTCCGTCTCTCCCTGTCACGGGGATCACGGTCTGGGTCAGCACTCCACTGGTCTCTCAACACCGGACTCGTACGGGACTCCGCCATGTAAACGTCGCCAACGGCATCTGGTTCAATCAGGGAAATAAAGAATGTCAGTGAGGCCAGTCCTTAGAAGAAGCCTTGAACTAGAGATAATGATGAGAAGGCGCAGTGAGCGATGGCGTCCAAGCGTGTCTGCGATCGCAGGCGGGAGTCTTTCGGGTTTGGGGACCCGGAACGATGGTTTTTCCAGATTCCGAACTGTGCAAACTATCAAGCGCTTGTGAACAACGAGAACATAAGCAAGGGGAAGGTTGAACGGGGCATACGCACCAATTCAGATTTATCAAATACACCGTCTCACCTTTCCAGGTAAAGAAAGAATGCTACTTGGTCGTGGAGGTTGGGCTTTCCAAGGTAGGAGACCTCGGGGTTGCTGACTGATCCACGTTGCGGCTCTACAACTTGATTCGACGGTGGGATGAAGGTTGGCGTGCAGCTGTCGAAGACAAGTGCAACCTGTACTTCCGCTTTGCTCCTCCGAGATTCTTTTTTGGTAACGAATATGTCGAGTCTGTGGCTGCTCAGCACATGATGATCTGATCAGGTGGTGCCCACCTGCAGGTGTTGGAGAAACAGTGCTAGCCAGGCTTGCTAGCGTATTGTCTCCTTTGTGCTCGCCCTGCCCTTTTGTACAGCAGTTGCCTGTTTTCGGCAAAGCAACATTGAGACTGCGTTGGCTTGTCCCACGAATGAAACTATCTACGTATTGCACAAGGCCAGATGGGCCAACATCCCTGAGGCGCCGTTGTGAACAGGACAACCCCGCGTAGGGTTATCAGGTCACATCATAAAATCAATGGCTGCAATCTTTTATCATCCTCCCCCCGGATCGTGGAGCTGTTGGTCAATTTGGAGGGCCGATCCAACGCGCTGTGATTCTCTGTTGGTAACAAATCTGATGCTCTGTATCACACGCAGCCGGTCAGTTTTCGATGTCTTGTGAAGTTGTAGATTGGTCAATTGTCGAAATTCGAGTTGTCATGCACCAAGAAAAGAGTGCGTGCTGGAATGAAACTTTGTCGTGATTTACAACAGATAGACTGATGGTTGACTATCTGGGCACAAATACCACTGGGACAGAAATGAAACACGGGCAGACCCCCCGATTGCGACGTGGTTTTAAGCCGACCTGTGTCTTTATGCTTCTGCCACACAAGAATGCAATTCATGTTGGTCATATCCAGTTGTCCAGGTCGGTTGGCTAGACAGAAGGCTGGCGACAATGGTGGGGAGCATACCGATTGAGGGGTCAATGTACGAGACGCGTCAAGGCAAGAGGAGCCCAAAAAGACAATGCTGGTTCCACCCCAATCCAATCCAGTAAAATGCGCAAGCCCCCAAAGTTGCGGGTGGTGAAATGCTAGAGACTAGGCCCTGCGCTCAACCCCGCCTCCCATATTAAATAATGAGATCAATCCCAGGACCTGAAATTGAAAATTTGTAATCTAACAGAAAGCAACATCTCATGATGTGGATGTGCTTGCAAGGGACTTAAAGCGTGGCCTGAAAGTCAGCCCGAGTAGGAGCGGGATGGACTGGAACACAAACCCCCGGCCATTCTCACCCGGGAAAAAAAGGAACATCCCCCAGAAGACCGGGGAGCTATATTCAACAAAAGAAATTATGTATAGTCATAGGGGCGCCATGCCGAATCAGCGAGGAACTAAGAAAGCAAAGAGGAAGGTTGATGTCATGGGCAGGTCGAAGTTGTCCCGGAACTGAGCGTGGGGTCACATGCGGTCACGTGATGTCGTATTGTTTACGAGGTACATAAATCAGCCCTGGCACTTCGCAACACCTCTTTGAGAAGAAGATTTTGCTTCCATCATATACTACCAATGTCTCCCGCTTCTGCTTATGGGTGACAAACTATTTGGGATAGGGACTGCACCACCTTGTTTACTGGGTCTTTAACACATGTTGCCACACGACTGATTCCCTTTGTCGTCAGATTGTCCCTGTACCAATCCTCTTCAGGGGTATTTCCCTCATAATACTGTTACACTACTTGGATAATTGTTTCCTATTTCCGTTACCAGAATCCGAGACCGCATGTCTAACGCAGCAGTGCCAACCCCAACACCTATCAGCACATAGGCACGAAAGGAATATGTTTCTACATGTCATACATTAGATTAAGGACGGAAAAGAATTGATAATAATACAAATTTATTCATACATACTCTACATTCAAAGATTGACACCCCCTCCCTCTCACATCACCCCCACCTCACTTCTTGCTTACATGGTAAGCAAGATTCACCTCAGAAACTACTCAAACAAACTTGAAAGTATTCTCATATCAACCCTCACAACTCACAAGGAGGGTTGATCACCGGGGCCCTTGTCCCCCCATCCCCAGACAACCGGCCCGCCCCGAGCTAGTCGTCCGCCCCGTCGAGAAGGAAACGGCGGAGACGGGGCGAGACCAGCTCCTCGGGGTCCTCCTCGGAGTCCTCTGGCTCCGACCAGGTGACTCCGTGGGGAACCACCCCATTGCCATTGCCATTGCCATTGACGGCCTCGGAGGAGGCGGCCGATGACTCTGGGGTCGACAAATTGGGCCCAGCCGGTGTATTTGGAGGAGCCGAGATGCCTGGGTGAAACGGCGAGTACAGAGGGTCGGAACGAAATTGGCGTGGAATAGCCGACCGGATCTGAGGAGGTCGAACGGGTGGAGCAAACAACGACTCCACGGCAGTCGAGAGATCTGTATCAACCGGCAAGTCTGCATCGGATGAAGTTGGAGCAGACAATTCATGGCCAACCGGCGAGTTTTGAGTACTAGCGAAACTTGGAGCAGTCGCGGCGTTTGATGCAATTGGCAAACTCGAAGCATCAGGAGCATTAGACGAAGCAAGCGCAGTGGATGAGTTAGGATTTGCGCGCCGCGGGAACCAAGGAAGGTCGGGCATTGGAAGCATGACACCGTGGAATCTGGCAGGCTCCATTCTGACGATATAGGCACCATTTTCATTCATCATGATCCAAGGAGGTGTTCGGAACCGCAAATTTTGTGGGTTTGACATGGGCTGAAGGTTTTCAGGACGGACGCCGGCAATAAGCTGCGCGCGGAGGAGCCATGCTTGAAGCATGCGGTCTGGGGCATAAGCAATGGCACCTTCAGGCATCAGATCTGGCTCGCGTGCGAGTGTGTAAGGGTTGCCATATTCTGTGTACCGGGGTGGTTGAGGGGCTGTCATGGGAGGTGCTACCATAGGAGGTGCTATCAGAGGAGGATTCGACAAAGGACTTGGATCAGCAGAAGATCGGCGCTGGGTTATCATTGGGTAAGGAGAGGGAGGTCGGTTGTGAGAAGAGTGGTCTCCAGGATGAGCAGCACCCGTGGGATCAGGTGTATCGAAACGAGCATGTGGAATTGGCTCGAATGGTCCGGCTGAAATGGAAGGTTGGGTTTCAAATCGCGCAGGCATGCCCATTGCCCATGGCTGCGATCCACGTTCAGCACTGGCATAATGTAAGGGTTGGTTGGCAGATTGCGAACTTCCACGCCGGGGGTCGTTAAGAATCTGAGAAGCTTCACGCTGGGACTGAGTGAGGATGCGAGAAGCTTGATTCTGGGACTCATTGAGCATTTGGGAGACTTGATGTTGGGTCTCATTGAGCATCATAGAGGCTTCGTGCTGGGACTGGTTGAGCATGCGAGAAACTTGATGCTGGAATTCATTGAGCATGTGAGAAGCTTGATTCTGGGATTCGTTGAGCACACGAGAAGATTGAGAAGCTTGATACTGGGCTTCAACTTCTCTGCGCGCATTCACTCGATTGGCTTCGTTGATTCTTTGCAATCTTGCTAGATGGACATAGAAATCGGGGTGCACACGCACTTCGCCATCTTCATCAGAGTTAGACTCAGTGTCAGCTTCCAGGTTCGTCTGGAGAACTTCAAGGGTAGTATCAGAGGCCCAATGCGAGGGTCCAGACTCGAGAGGAGCGTTGGTACCGGCAGGCTCATTGGCGGCGACAGGTTCATTGGTACTGGCAGACTCATTGGAACCAATGTGCTGGCTGGCACCGGTGGGCTCGTTAGTGAAGCCAGTGGTATCTTCCTGATTAGGAAGACCCGAAGAGCTAGGAATGGCTGAACGTCGGGGGTGGTTATCCATTATGTAAAATGGATTCTTGGTTGGCAAAAAAAGCCTTTTGATAAATGAACCTTCAATCCCATGTCAGTAAGTCTCATACTTGATTTTATCAGCCACATTCAACATACCTGTAATTCAATGTTGTCAGGGCAAACCCTTTGGATGCAGGGCAGGGTATTCGGTTTGATTGTAGAACCCTAATCGCAAACATATTAGCGTCATGTCACAAGAACCAAATAAGCATGCATAGATCGGAATAGAAGGAATATCAGATGAAAGTAAACAATAGACAAAGGAATATGAGATGAGATCTTTTCTTAAAGAAAACCCATGATCAACATGGGAGGGAAAGGAGATAAACAAGCCCAGGTTCCATGTCCAATCAGTATTGGATGTCGGACCCTCCAAGGCTCCGGAACACTGGGGCTGTATGCAATACAATAAATAAGGAGGCAGGATCAACTCGCACAAGACTTACAGAGACAGATAATATGGATGCCACTCCGTAGTGGCAGTGGGCGGCGTGTTGTGTGTCCTGGTAGCCTTAGTGTATTGACAGGCAAGGTTGGTGGACGTGACAGGGTTCACACACACGTCAAATGCAGCGGGAATGGGGTAAAAAGCACAAGCAGGAACAATTAAAAGATCACAAGAAAAGATAAGTATGAATAGATGAAGACTCCAGATGGTAGAGCGTTCTAGAGTTGGATGGAGAGTTGGATGAAGAGGACGAAGAGGGATGACGAGACAGGAAGAAAAGAAAGGGAGACCTGGGAAATGGGATGCGAGACATGTACGTGTTGTAGGGACACATCGTCAAGGCAACGACGAGACGTGCGGTTCGACGACTAAGCGATTAGTCGTCGGTGTGGTCATGTAGATACCAGCAGTGCCAAAACCGCTGGCAGTATATTCAAGCGGACAAAACAGTCAGTGACCAGATATAGCTATCTACGTGTCTATACAGTCTTCCTTGTAGTATCATATGAAAGCCCTAAGACAGACCAAATAGCTCTTTAGAAATCGGCTGCAGGTCGACACCCCACTGTCCAGGGTCGATACACCAAGACCAGAGCTTCGGTTTTCGTTATAGAAGAGGAAAGAAGAAATCAGAAGGAGATTGTACATTGGTTCTAATACATACATCGTATCTAAGTGGACATTACTAGGATGCCGGTAAGCGGCATGGGATCAAGTGTTGAAACAGCCTTGCTAGTGCTATCGAGTGATATCTCAATAGACTGTGCAGCAAAGACCTCTTGAGGGGTTGTGTTAGTAAGGTAGGGGATAGGAGAGGGAGATTTTATCTTCCTTCGGCCCATCATGGGTAGAGGAAGGGGTGTTCGTCATTTCCCACGAAGCCATCAGCTCTAGAAGCAGACTGTGAGCTCCGGGGAAGGAACATGACAAGACACCAGGGCGAAGATTCGCCCAGGTATGTGCAGGGGAACCGGGACAAGAGAAGACCAGAGAAACACCAATCCACGCTTAACATGTAAAGTAAAAAGCAAGACCCAAAACCTGTTGAAAGGTCACCACCCAAAACTCCGAGAATTCAAAAATCAACAACCTATGTTAAGGTTGGGCTGACGAGATAGGGCATTTATCTCCGGTTCAGCAGAGTCAAGAACTCTTCGCGAGTCTTGGCGCTGGAACGCATACATCCGAGCATACAGCTGGTAGTAGTGGTGCTGCTAACCTTCTGCACACCGCGCATAACCATGCAAAGGTGGGAAGATTCCATGACGACACCGACGCCGCGAGGCTGGAGGACCTCTGAAATGGCTAACGCAACTTGCTTGGTGAGACGTTCTTGGACCTGAAGTCTGCGAGAGAACATCTCTGCCAGGCGAGCCAATTTTGACAAACCAAGGACGCGGCGGTCAGGGATGTATCCGATATGCATCTGTAATTGGTCAGAACGATATAACCCCGGTATTATATGCAACAATCCCTTACCTTTCCGGTGAATGGTACCATGTGGTGCTCGCACATCGAGAAGACGTCAATATCCTTGACAATGACCAACTCATCGTGGTCCTCGTGGAAGACAGCGTTGTTGACCAAGTCCCGGACATTCTCCTCGTAGCCCTTGGTGAAGTAGAGCATGGCCTTGGCGTATCGCATGGGGGTCTCGAGAAGTCCCTCTCTTTCCGGATCCTCGCCGATACATTCCAGAATTGTTCGGATAGCCCCCGACATCTTCTCTAACCGCTGTTCGGTCTCCTCCGGTGTCGACTCCTTCCGCTGTCTGGTTCCGGGGCCTAGATTACAGTAGTTAGAGGGATATACCAATAGAGTGGTGTCCATTGATGGAGCTAGTATCACTAACATGGCCAGCTGAGACCGTCAAAGTCGATAGGTGGGTTCAATGTGTAGGGGCTAGCAGGACGGCTAACGCTGGTTGAAGGCGTGAATGGGGCGGCCGCATCCCGGGGATCGCGGGGAGGGTCATTCAAGGTAGGACTACCAGAGATTAGCCATGAAATACGAAGCGCCATGGCTAAGAATATTGATATTCGCGGTATACATACCGCACTGGCGCGACACTGCGAATTGGCACCTCAGCACTGGAAACGGCGTGGGTGGGGGCGGCTCCAGTTTCAGTTTCGGCCTCGGTCTCGGTCTTGTCGGACTTGGTCTCGGACTTGGCCTCAGGAGATTCAAATTCAAGGGGAATTCGAGGTTCAAAAGAGGAACGAATGGATGTATTAAGACTCTCACGCTCACGAGAATCACGGCTGCCCGTTGATCGTTGCAGCGGGGAGCTACCGTTCAGCATGTGAGACGGGATAGCTGAAGGCTTGGGGCTTGTAGGAGAATCGGAACCCATGATGGAAATAGTTGTTAGAAAGTAGAAAGAAGATATCACCCAAGATTATATAGATAGGTGAGTATCTAAAGACAGAGTCATCTTTTTTTTTTTCCTAACAAACGCTAACTTTCTTTTGTCCCCCTCATCGCCCCCCACCACCAATTCACCACCAATCAGAACTCACCAGGATGATGACATGCTCTCCGCGGGATAGGTAAACGGACTCTGGGGCCGACATGTACAACATAATCCTGGCTCTATATTAGAATATATTAGAATATATTAGAACATATACTTTTATAATCTCATGTTACCTCTAGTGAAACGTGTGGCAATGCACTTCTCTAAGGAGGGAAATATATATTTCCCACTCCTAGAGGTCAAATAGAGTATAATAAGGTATTTACAGAAATAAATGCTAATATCGCTTTCCCTAATTCTAATATTCCAAATGTGGAATTAGTACGTTTATATCTAAGTAAATAATGATCCAAGTATATCATGTCCAAAAAGAGCCAAAATATTCAAAGTTTGCCCTCAGTCATTTACAACTGTTTCAGTCAAGAACTATAAGTGCCATATAACTTGATTATATCTATGGCTTTAGCTACATACCATGACTTTCTCTTTCCGCTTTAGTGCTCACCCCTTGCCGCTTTTTGCTCACTGAGTAAAACTGAGCATTAAACCCGCTCACTGAGCATCATATGATTATTACATAAGCTAGGTGACTCGCCCGCGCGGGCGTTCACTGAGCGCCACCTGAGTAGCCGGAGCAAAGTGGGAGAGTCAGCAGCTCACCTCAATAAAATGCACCACGCTAGCCCCATCCAAATGCAGTCGTTCACTTAGCACTCTTGACTACAGAAAACAATATTGCGTATTTGATTTGAATAAGGGCTAATAAAAAATAACCTAGGCCAAATTCACAGCCTTCAGAGGAAACCATTTGGTGCTCCCTCTCTGATTGAAGGATGATACAGGAAGCAGAATTTCCGGGTCATCACAGGCTATTGACGTGTATATTAAACTTAGATGATGGGGAGGGCTATTCGCCTCGATGAAAGAAGTATCTAGAGTCATGACATGCTTATGCTTTGTTCCAATGAATTAGCCTCGCCGCTTCTGATGAGTCCCCCATTGCTCGGGGCTGTAACAAAAAAATAACAGGAGACAGTGAGATAATGAGCAAAGCCGATCACCTCAAATCCACGATATTTCTCGCGCCTCGGATTTTCAACTGTAGTGCTTGTGGTTGTGTTCACGGATATGGCTACGGGCGTGCTTGGTAGCAGCAGGAACCGGCGTAGAAGTACGAATTCCAGATGGAGCAGCAGTCGAGGAAGCAACTTCATAATCCATGCAATACCGGTACTGCTTCGAGAAACAGCAATTGTCGGTGCTGTTTGACGAGCCGCTACCTTTTCCAAGCGAGGGGTTCCATCTTTTCAGATCTGCCTGGGTCGTCTCAAAGAAGTAGGCAGCTGCTTCGCAGCCAGATACTCCTGTCATATTATACTGCAGCGTGCTTCCATCTGCGTAGGTAAGGCAGCCCTCGAGGGTTCTGGGTGCGAGCGGGAGTTTGACAAAGACCGGCGAGTATGTGGAGTCAGGAAGACTGGTGAACGGAACCTTCGTGGTAGAGGGATCAGCTCCCATGTAGTCAGGGGCATTTGGATACGAGTTTACTAATATCTCGATTAGTATTGAAGATCTGGCTCATTTGTGGTCGAAGAGGATCTTACTATCTCCTACAGGTTGCACACAGTAACTTGTGTTTGCAAGCAGATTAGTGCAGCTAAGGGACGTCAGTCAAGCCGATGAGGATTTTCTGTATGCCGACTCACTTGGAATTGATTTCCGGGTTTAGGACTACAAAGTCCTGAAGGGAAATGCCGAACTTGGTCGTGAAGATGTCACACTCCTCACGCGGTTGCACTGTATAGTACTCTCCGCACCTGGTAGTAGTGTTTGCTGCAACATTGCTTGGAACAGGGACTGCAGAGGTAGCGCCAGAAGACGATCCCGTGCTGGTCGTAGCAGTGGCAGGAGGGACATACTTCTGACCCGGCTCATCCACACATATCTGAGTACCGATAGTTCGGTTGAAGTTGTAGCATCCGGTGTCAATCCAGGAGTTCCAGGCGCGAAGCTGAACATTGCTGATGTTGTGTGCAGTAGACACAGAGCTACAAGTATCACCGTCCCGAACAGTGTACACGTCACACTTATTCTTGATACAAAGAGAGCCCTTTTGTGGGAACTGGGCGCAATAGGCGGGCAGGTTGTTGTCCATGAGCAATTGCCAAGTAGCCACACCCTGGGACAGCGAAATCGAGTTGCAAGTATCATCAGACTTGATTTTGTACTTTGTGCCGCTACAGGAAGATGTAGGGGTATTGGCTGACGCCGAAGCGGACATCGAACCCATAGAGCTCGGTCGACCAGGACTAGTTTCGCGTTAGTACATGAAAATATAGAAAATGATCTTCAGATCTTACAAAGATGTAGCAGGAGGGGCCATAGGTGTTGTCGTAGGTGTAACTGTCAACGGGTACCCAGTAAAATGACAGGATGACGTGTAGCTCTGGTAAATTCTCTTGGAGTAGACCAAAGGCCCATCGTTGTACTGGAATTGAGCAGTATCACGCAGTTTGAAAAGAGCACATTCATTACAGGCATTGGCGGCGGATGAGTTTCCTGGGGTTACGGTCAAGTTTCCCAGAACAGAGTTGCAAAACTCGCCCTCGTTCAGTCTGCAAGTTTGGTTGAAGTTGAAGCTTCTGATAGACGCAACAGAGGAAATAGGAACGGTATTGCCGTAACCATCAACATAAGTCACACCTCTGCACGAATCTTTGATACTTTTCTCCCAAGATGCCAGAGCAGATCCACAGTCATCAGTGCAGCCCAACTCTAGAATCTTCTGAGAGTAGGCGGTGTTGGCATCAAACGAGGAAACCGCATTATTACATTCTGTGATGTTTGTGGAAAGAGCATCGACACATTCATCAGAATAGCCTGCACTTTCGACACTGGCCTTCGGAAAGAGAACGAATCCGGCGCTGGTCAAAGTATAGAGAAAGAACCAAACGTTGATGAGTACTCCAGACATTCTCAGGTAAATCATGCCGAGACAGCTCTGGTAAGCAAAATGTTTGGTTTTAAGAATGGTAACAGGTGAATGAAAGAAATTCAAAAGAGTGACTACCTGAGGACAACTTCCTAGGTGATAGAGGCCTTTGGTGCGAGACGACCAGGTTCAATTGAACTGCTCAAAACGTGGAAGCGCAAATACGAAAGCTAAGAAAAGATTATATGAGCTAAGCCGTTCAACTTGGTCCATTTGGGAAATAATAGCGAGCTGAATTCGCTTCTCAACTGTGACTCGCATCAATGGATACGACCAACCCACCAGGTTGACGCGTCAAGCAGGGGGCAAACGTGCCGTGCGGTATTTTCCCCCTGATTGTTGCATACTTATTTCTTTGGCTAAAGTTTGTTGCGGCTGATCATGTTTAAGCATCAGTGCGAAGGAACACAATGGAGACACTGGACACATGCTAAGAAACAAGCTAACGACTAGCAGAGTGGACTTGACGGCTTGTTTCATCGAATGGAACGACGTCAGGGCCCAGGTGACCCACACGGAGAAGATCTACAGTGGCTTTCCCGTTGAATTGTGCGATATAGAGACCCATTTTATGCCGTCTTTCCCAGGGGTGTTTGTCGGGGGCCAAACTATGCCCACAAAAAGGGTCTGATACGCCAAATTTATTAACGAAGAGCCTCATGGCCCCCCCAAGTGGACCCTTGGCCCCCGGGAGGGGCCGATACCCCGAGTCAATACACCGTATAGAAACGAGATCGGCAGGTTCGCAGTATCCACTGATGAATTCTTCGGATTCACGAGAAAGAAGACGTATTCATAGAGGAGGTAGCCCATGCGTTGGAAGGTGATTTCCTTCTCAGTTCACTCGTTCTAAATTGTCGCCCACTCTCTTTTATACCATGACTCGAAGAGTCCATTCATTACTATGTTTATTTCTTTTATTTCTAGTTTCCGCTCATGCCATTGACAATCTAGTATTCGAGGCCCTTTCCGGTCTTGATGGGCTGGTTACCGGGGATGATTATAGCTGCAATAAGACAAACCCTTGCTCAAATGGTGCTTGCTGCGCTAAATCCGGATATTGTGGATTTGGCGACAAGTACTGCGGAACCACTGGCGAGTCTCCCAACGACGCCTGTTGGACTAATTGCGACGCCCATGCCGAGTGTGGCAAAGATGCGGTGCCTGCCAATAAGGGCTGCCCACTGAATGTTTGCTGCAGTGCATATGGTTTCTGTGGCACCACCGCTGAGTTCTGTGGGGATGGCTGCCAGAGCAAGAGTTATTGCGATGAACCATCGTCCAATGCTACTGGAAGTAATTCTCAGCAACGTATCATCGGATACTATGAGGCCTGGCAAGCCTCGAAATCGTGTATTGGCATGAACGTGGACCAGGTTCCTGTAGAGGACTTGACCCATATCAATTGTGAGTACACATTGACTGTTACTATTTAATTCAGCCTTGCTAATCCCATGTAAAGATGCCTTTGCTGTCATCGAACCAGACAGTTACAAGGTTGGGCCAATGCCGAAGGCCGATGAGTCAAGCATCAGCGACTTTACTGCATTGAAGGAGAGAAACCCTAATGTGGTTGTTGGAGTTTCTATCGGAGGATGGGACTTTAATAACAACCACACAGACACCCAAGGAGTCTTTGCAGATATCGTATCCTCCTCGGATAAGAGACAGAAATTTGTCGGCGAGTTGCTGAAGTTCATGAAGCATTATGCTTTTGACGCTGTTGACCTTGACTGGGAATACCCGGGCGCTCCTGATCGCCAACCTCCCAAAAGCAACACAGCGACCAACACCAAAGGCTATGTCAAACTGGTTCAAGATATTCGCAAGGCATTTGACGCCGAAGACAAGAAATATGAACTTTCCTTCACAACCCCCACTTCCTACTGGTGAGTATCAATTTCATATGATGGTGTGGACGTGTTACTGACTTATTTTATAGGTATCTTCGCTGGTTTGACATCAAAGAGATGGCTAAGGCCGCAGACTATGTCAATTTTATGTCTTATGATCTTCATGGAGTTTGGGACGCCGACAACCCTATCGGCAGTCAAGTTTTGGCGCATACCAACCTGACAGAGATCAAACAAGCGATGGACCTGCTTTGGCGAAATGAGGTCCCTGCTCAGAAGGTTAACCTTGGTCTGGCATTCTACTCTCGTACCTTCCAGCTCAAAGATAAGGACTGCTGGCACCCTGGCTGTGACTTCAAAGGTGGTGGCATGAAGGGACCCTGTACCAAGAACTCCGGCACGCTTTCATATCGTGAATTGACTGACATAATGGTCTCGAACGACGTCAACGCGACTTATGACAAGGAGGCGGCCGTCAAATATTTTAAATGGAACGGGGACCAATGGGCGTCCTATGATGACCAGCAAACGTTCCAACAGAAGATCGAATGGGCCAACGATCAAGGACTGGGTGGGCTTCTCATCTGGTCTCTTGATCAAGACACCAGCAATCTCGATGACCTCAGAGGTGTAATCTATCCCGCCGATCTCAAGATGAGTGATCACTCCGCCAACGATGTCAGCTACTGGGAGAGCAAAACGGCTAGCGACTGTCAGACTAGCCCATGTGGAGGCTCATGCAGCGCTGGCCTTATCGAGATTGAAACAATTGAGTGTGACATCGGCAAAGGGCCCCAGAAGATCTGCTGTCCTATTGCATCAGCTCCAGACCCAAGCACCTGCCATTGGCGAGGTGGTGAAACTGGACAATATTGCAATGGGCAGTGTCATGGTGGTGAGGTCGCCATTTCTTCCAGTGTCAACGGAGGCAACGGATACTGTGTCGATGGTCGCCAGTTTTATTGCTGCCCGATCCCTGAAGTCGCCGACGGCGGGGGTATCAACTGTGGCTGGCAAGATAGCTGCCGCTCTGATCAAGAGCCACTCACTTTCCATGGAACCGTTGCGTCGGATTTCGTTAATATTGCAAAGCTCGGCGGGCTTTTCGGGGAGGCACTCTCTGACGCCCTGCACGATATTGATGTCTCAAACCGACAGTTGTATTGCTGTGGTAAAGAAGAGATCAAGAACTGGAAACAATGTTACTGGGCGGGTACGACTGGCAAGGGACTTTACTCTTGCGACGATGGTCACTGCAACACTGGGCATGAAGTGCAACTGACTGATAGTCCTTATGGTGGCGGAGAAACATGCTCGCCCATGGACCCCTCTCGATCTCGTGCTTTCTGCTGCACACCTGCCAGTGGAGAGAGTCTCTTCATGCCTGTCCCCCTTAAATACCTGTTTCCGGTCCCTCCTCCAGATGATGGAAACCCCGAATTCAACCTCAAAGTGGATGACACCTGGGGAACTGGCAAGGCAAAATCCAAAGAGGACCCCAACGCTGCTTCTTTTGGCTTTGTGGTAATCACCGCACCGGATGAAGTCTCAATCAGCTTGGACAAGCGTGACGGCTCTCCTTGGGAGGTCATGGATTGCGTCAATACCGACAGCGAGGATGAGAAAACTGTGCGACTTATCTGTACCGATGACTCCGATACCAGCTTGTGTCATAAGATCCATCTCGGACATGGTGTTCCAGGCACCATTCTTCAGATGCCTGAGTCATGCGGACCGGGCAGGTATGCCGTCGCCAAGAGCTTCAGTGTCTCTGACAACCAAGCACTTCCTGAAGATCTAGCCAAGCGGGATCTGGGCTCATCCCAGGTGTACGACCTTACATATGACTACAATTTCCGCCGCGTTCCCCGGACCTATGGTGATAGCAAGATGCGTTTGGATTTCAGCAACGAAAAGGGTTACTGGGATTCTGTTGTTGATCGTCCCGGCGACACCAAGCGCAAGCGTGACCATACATATCATGAGAACCCCAAGCGCTGGATGGAAGATGAATGGCGTGAGGCATATCATTTTGGGGGTCTGGATCGTGATGAGCTTCATAAAAGATGGTTTGGTGAGGGTGCCATCGCCTGGCTTGCCAACCTGATCGGTGTATCAGAAGCCGAACACACCGAGGAGTTTACCCATAGTGTCAAAGAAAAACTCGAGGTGATCTTGATTGATCAGCAATTTGGACCATGTCCCGTTGGCCCTGCTCAGGCACAGGCCAACGTTCGTGCCACTGTGGATGCCAACCTCCAGGTTGACACGTCGTTTGGAGTGACAATCATCGCAACATTTGGTGACGATAAAATCGACCTAAGCGAATCTTACCTTTTCTTCAAGAACAAGGGTGAAGTGACTGCCAAGTTCCAGCTCGATGCCGTCGCATCACTCACCTACAGCTCAGGAGACGTCAAGCTATTCGGTCTTGATGACTTCCCGGGTGCTACTTTCCGTGTTCCAGGTAATTTTTCCAGACCCAATTTAGTATCCGAGGCTAATTCTTCACTCTAGGCGTTGTAACCATTGGTCCTAACTTAGCTGTCTATGCTGCTGCCGATGCTCAATTCACGGTTGCCGGTCACATTGAGGCCGAGGTCGCCGTTGCCAAATGGGATATCAGACAAACATACCCAGAAACTGACAAGTACGAACCGGACGCAATTGATGAACCTGACTACGATGGTACACAGACCATCGGACACCCCAAGTTTGAAGCGAGCATAACAGCTCGCGGAGAGATTGCGCTCCATCTCAAGCCAACGATTCAGTTTGGTATTGACTTCGACAAGCGCTGGGGTGTGGATAAAGCAACCGTAGAGCTTGTTCTCGATGCATACACAATTGCTCATGCCCAGGCTTCTGCTTCTACCAGCTCTGATAACTCTTGTCCATTCTCATATGGTATTGATGCTGGATCCGACATCTATTGCCAGCTCAACGCGCCTGACCTCTTTGGGTGGGGTGGCCAGTCCAGATACCCTATTGCCTCTGTCCCTCGTAAGGCAATCACCCCAGAGACCTGTGCCGGAAGTGATAACAAGCGTCGCTCTCTGGATGAAGTTGATTTCCTTTCTGGTGATTATGTCTCTTCTTTCGGCTCGGCTGACACAGATGGCAATGGATTAAACAAGCGCGACACCTTCAGCCTGGGACCTCTCATTACCGTTCCGGACACATTCCTCAAGTGTCCAAGCAACAATTCCGATACTGACGGAATCGACTGTCCTGTCTGTAGCTTCAACAAAAATGACGGCGATACCCTCAGCAAGCGTGACGGTGATTCCTGTTTCTATCCTGGAGCATCGAACGGCGAAAGGTGTACCGGTTCCTCACTTGCTAAACGCGGGAATGGAGACAAGGATATCCATCTTTCTTGGATTAACGGGAAGATCAAGTTCTCCAGATACCCACAATGTTCAGCAGGTAACCTCAAGTCTCTCAATGGCATTGCGCAGGTCAGTATCCTTCACCCATCAATTTTAATAAACATCTGACCGAGAAAACAGTGGTACATGCCCAAGGGCGCCGGAAAGACCCCCGGACAATGTGGTCCGGAGGTCGCTCAATTTCCTGTTGACAACACTGGTAACAGTGTCGATGGGGTTCCCATTGCCGGCAACTTTGAGAACGATCATGTGTTCGAAGCCCAAATCGTGACCAAGTTCTTAGAGTGGGTGTGCAATGGAAATCCTCTTACATATGTCGGAGGAGCAATCCCCTTTCCTTCTGCGGCTGGTTTTACTCAGCCCAACACCGTGTGGTGTGCTGAAGTCTTCGGAGAGCCAGATTCCACTGGCAGTATCGATCTAGCGGGCTGGAAGTTCCCTTCGTCTGCAACAGACAACGATCCCAATAACTTCATCATGAATACGGCCGCTGAACTGGGAGGTACTGACAGGACAAACCTTATGGCACTGTTCTATGCCGGTGCAAACAATGCCAAGGGCAAGATTGTGCAAGCACAAAACGTCGCAACTGGTGATAAGCAATCAGCTAAAACGAGAATTCAAGGTGTGGTGAATGTAAGTCCATGCATTTTCTATTCCCCGTTCCAAGAGTCCATATGTTGAGATTTCTAGGGATTTGGTGCCTTCTCTTATCTCAAGAACTCCGCCATCAAGCCAAAGTGGACCGCCCCCTCACAAGGCATTGAAAGAGTATGCAAGTTCTTCGATGACAACTACTGGGGCAAGAGTGCAGAGCGAAAGTATAGATCCACACAGACTCGGAAGGCCTTGGGCCGTCCGCAGCAAGTAAATGGTGTTACAAATTGGGGCATGCGCACGCTGTGGTGCTACTGGATCGACTTACACCTGGAGCGTATTGAGCAACAGTACAGTAGTTGGGCTACGACTGCGAAGACAAACCTTCAAAACGTGAACCAGATCCCTGGTGTTACCAAGCAGGAAATTACCGATGCCAACGCCTTCATCGCTCAATTCATGAACAACGGTGGTGGTGCCAGTGCTACCGACGCGACGTTCCCAAAGAACCCAGCCGCCGTCCAGGGCCAAGCCAGTGTTTATGAAATGTGGGGAGGTAATGGCTATGGTGCTCTCGGTCTCTAGGCGATTGAGACAGAACCATATACATTTTATTCTGTCTAAAGCTTGTTTACTTTCAAATGTCACTTTATGACCATCTTATATTTAACCCCTTCTTCTATTAGTCTTTTTCTTTATGTTCTTATATCTCTTTTGAACTATTCTTCTGAACTCCTTCTAGCCTTGAATAAATAGTGTTTAAGATGATTGGCCGTAATAAGAATAAGTACTCAGGTTCATATAGCGTGGTCACTGATTTTCTGCCAGACCTAATTTCAGGCACTCACCAACTCCATCTCTAATCTTTGAACCCTGAGCCTTATACCCTACTGTTCTAGCCTTCTAGGAACTATGGTATATCAAAGTAAGAAAATGTCGCGTCGTTTTGACGCGCAAGTGGGGCCGAACTTATGTAGAACTGTACAAACATGAAGCTGATCGTCATTTTCTCCTTTCTTCCATAATACTTGACCCCTCCCGTTTTCAACCTTCATTTTTCAAAAATGGCGAGAACAGCTCAAACTTCACAGGCATCTGCCCAACCTAATGGATGGATTCAACGGGAATATGCCGACCATGAAGGCAACACCGTCATTTTGGGGAAGGATGCCAACGAAAGCCAATTCTATAAGCCGGAGGAAGGTGAAGCTTACCGACTTCAAATATACAGCACGGCTCCCATCCTACAGGAAGAGCTCAAGAAGCTGTATCAATATTTCTGCTTTGACCTCAGTCAGCTTCCATTTTTGGAAATTTATTCATGCAACCCAGCGGACGGTTTGGCTTGCGTGGAGCATCAGCGTCGTGAAGTTGCCCATCGCAAGCGTCTCCATGCCGAACAGCGCGAAGGCGAACATGACGAGTCTCTTCCCCCTTTGATTCCAACCATGCGAACTGGCTTCGATGATCAGTTCATGTCTGGATTTTGTTTCCTTCTCACGTCGAAGAGCTACCTCCAGGGTTCATTCCCAGACAATGAGCACGGTACAGGGCCCTGGTGGATCAGCTTCGATCGGAGTCTTCCGTCCACGGTGAAGAAGTTGGACTTGATTAAACGTCTTGACAGTCCGGCGACCGATCTTCAAACTTTTGCCGAGTGGGGGATTCCAGTCAATCCTGAAATTCGTGATATCAATGTGAATATTACAACCGACCAGACTGAAATAAACTCCGACATGAAAGAGCTTTTCAGAGGAATCTATTCGACCTTTGTTTATGGGGAAATTGATTATGGACTCCATGAACCGCTCCCACCCGCACCCTCCGAGGAGACTCCGACCTTGCAACATATCCAGGAGGTTCTGGAGCAGCAACAGCAATCGGCAGAAGTCCAATCTGTAGACTTGAGTTTACTTCGTCTTACATCGGGACCTGAAAATAATACTGTCACAGTCACGAAGAGCTCTTCGGGCGGAGAATGCGACCTTCAATACGTGATCTACGTCCAGTTCCTCGCGAACGTCGACCAGGAAAAGTCCGCCCTCCTGGAAACCACTGCACGCACATTCACCGCTGGCGTTATCTCCTGTCTCCCTGCCTCCAAATCAATTTATTTTGAGTTCCGGATTCCTGGCTCCTCCTTGTCTTCCCTTATATCCGCCCCACCTAATGGATTTGATGTCGGCGCCTCCCATGAATTTGAGGCGGGTTCGGTCATGCGGGCACTACCTCAGATTCGCCGTGACGTTTCTGTCCGCCCGTTACCCCATCACTTCTTCGCTGTGGTTCTTGACAAGCCTGCCTTTATCCAAGAACCAAGTGTGTTGTTCTACACCCTCTGGACCGACCCTTCGCAATACATTGAACCACAGACCACTGATACCGTTATTGGGACTCTGCGAAGTGCTGGTATTCAAGAAGCTACAAGAAGGCTTGCAATGCTTTCGGTGGAGGAGAAAACCACCGAGAGTCCAAGGAGGCTCACGCGGGAAGAGCATAGGGAATTGTTATCTTTGTCGCCGGAGGAGTACGAGCAGAAGATGAATTTTTGATATTTATGAGTTAAGAAATCAGGGAAGAGACACATAAGGTCCTGCTCAGTGTTTCACAGCACAGGGGAGATTACTCACTTAGTACCCTTAGAAGCAATTAGATATGTTTGGTTGGTGAATGCCCAGGTGCCAAGCCATACTTAATAATGCTAGGGCTGATTATGGGTCATGCTCAGTGAACGCCAAGGTTGTGCGTTAGTACTCCGTACTCAGGTCGTGCTCAGTGTTTAGACTCCGTTCACTACGCTCTGCAATTATTAATCACCCTCTATCTGGGCAAGTTTTGTTTGCATACTGTTTGTGCTGTTTGTGTTGATGGCCAAAGACCAATCAATGTCCCAAGGTCCAGGGTTGGCTGCATATAATATAGTCCGTGGTTTGTTTGTATAATTAAGGCCTAATCAACGCTGATGAATATCTCATTAATTGTCCAGCTGACGAGACAATCAAATATCTAGCTTACCAACCGTTCGGTCTTCTCGCGTGCCGAACTGAATAATTCAAGTCCTGAGGTTCCCATTATTGGAGTATACTGATACTTTTAAGCAGACCAACCCTCGATCCTTATTGTCTCTGTATCGAGTTCTCTTTCTCCTAATCAATCATTCACTCGCCATGTCTCTCAAACCCCTCACTCTCTGGACCCTCGGGGGCCATGCCGGCACACCTAATCCCTGGAAGGTCCTCATGATCCTGGAAGAGCTCAAGGTCCCCTACGAGCCTAAATCGATCGATCTCGGCGACCTAAAGAAAGAACCTTACGAGTCTATCAATCCCAACGGTCGTGTTCCCGCCCTTGAGGATCCGAACACCGGAATCATCATCTGGGAATCCGGCGCCATCCTCGAGTACCTGGTAGACACATACGACAAGCAACATACCATCAGCTTCATCACCGGCTCGAAGGAGTACTACGAAAGCAAACAGTGGCTAAACTACCAGGTGTCCGGCCAGGGACCGTACTTCGGGCAGGCCGCCTGGTTTACGATCTACCACCCCGAGAAAGTGCCCAGTGCAGTCGAGCGCTATGTTAACGAGATCCGGCGTGTTTCAGGCGTGCTCAACCGATCTCTCCAGAACAAGGAGTACCTCATTGGCGGCAAGTACAGCTATGTCGATGCTGCTTTTGTGCCGTGGTTCGAGGTAGCTGCGCTCATATGGTCGAACGAAATAGATCTCGAGGAGAACTTCCCGCATGTTAATTCCTGGCTGAACCGCATCAAGGCTCGTCCGGCTATTGCTAAGACCCTTGATGATAAGGCGAAGGCTGCGGCTGCAGAAGGGAAATAGGCAATATTATCGCAGATGAAAGTCCTAGACAGCAGGCGATGATTTTTTTTCAATCCAAATACGTATTCAGATCTACGCATCTCTTAAGCTAGCGTCTTTGCACTTCTGTGTATTATATGTAGACTCTTCTGGAGAATTAAATTGGTGATAAAAGCAAGAAAGCACCACAGGAAGGGTAAAGAGGATTAGGGCTAGTGGATAAGATGATAACCATGCTAGCAAAAGGACCGTCACCATGTAGACTCCAGATGTAATGGTGTTTTTAATGATTATTCACTATGGTCTTAATTCACCTATATCAAAGAAGCACCCATATGAAAAATGACTTGAAGTCCAGTAGAAATAAAATCACGCCTCAATTTCTTCTGTGGGGACATCCTCCAGGTCCTTGCCCACAATGGCATCTGCTACCTTCCATACCTGCAGTAGATTGTCCTCAGCAGCGGAACACAGAACCCAAGGGTCGCTTAGGTTCCAGCTGAAGTCCGAGATACGGTTCGTGTGTCCACCATGCATAAAGAGGCTAAGGAGTAAGGTTAGTTCAAACCCATTATACGAGGGGAAAAGATGGTGGTCACTTACAGCTCTGGCGGCCCATCTTGGGCATCCTCGGGGGTTTGTTCCTCGCCTGCCCGGCTGAGGTCCCAGAACATAATCTTGCGGTCATAACTGGAACTTGCCAGGACTGACTCCTCAAATGGATGCCATGAGATAGACTGCACCGAGTCGGTGTGGCCCTCCAGTGAGTGGAGCTTCGATTTCAAGTTACGGAGATCCCAAATACCGATCGTCTTGTCGGCGGAACCTGTGGCCAGAATCGTCTCGGAAGCCGGATTGAAGGAAATGGAGTTGATGGCATCGCGGTGCTGGCCTTCAGCCGAAGCAGCTGAACGAGTAGAATCATCTTGGCGGGTATCAAGGATTTGGAGCGTGATGTCATCGGAGACGGTTCCGATGAGAGAGGAGTGGAGAGGGTGATGTTGAACGTCGTTGACGATTGAGGAGTGGTGCGTGAAAGTGCGGCTCGGTCGCACTGCCTTGTTACCCTTGGTGTATGTAGTAATGTCCCTGTGGTGAGCTTCATTAGCTGCTAGTCACACCAAACTGGTTTTGCATTTTGCGCCGGCTTACCAAAGTCGAACAGTCTTATCCTCACTGCCCGTTGCGAGGTGGCCAGCCACATGAGGGTTCCAGCTAAGCCCGAAGCCTTCAGCTTCGTGACCTAAAAGCTCCATTTGAGGGTTCACTGTGCCAGTTGGCAAGCTGGGATGCTTGGAGCGATCCCAGATCATCACCCGACCATCCGTGCACATTGTAGCAATGATATTCGGGTTCTGTGGCTGGTACCGGGCCTTGTTGACCTCGCCCTTGTGATCGATCTTTTGCACAATGTTGAACTTGATTTCCATTTGAGCCTTCTTTGAACCCCCGCCATAGCCTCCAATCTCTCCCTTCTCTTCATCGTAGTCTTCCGGGTTTGGGGCATTAGGGTTTGGGAGTTGCACTTGGGCAATCTGAAGGTAATTCTGCGCTTCACCAGTGGTATGTGTGCCGATGAGGAGACGGTGGGTTGAGTATGGCTTGTCTGGGACTCTAAAGATAAGACTTGGTTAGGTTGATGAATGGACCAGTAGGAGCTCGGCGCGTACTCTTGCTTATCTGGAAGCCACTGGGTTGTGAGAGTGGGCCATTCTAATGCTGTGCTCAGGATCATATCATAGAGGAAGGGCGCATTCTTCTTCC